ATGAGTCATGAGGAACTCATATGACTGCCTGAAGCAGCAGGTGACAGTACCTGATGCTCTCGGTGCCTTATGTCATTTAGACGTGAAATCCAGGCCTAATCCTTTAAATCCAATAAATCATGCCAGGATTAAAGGCTACAGAAAGGTAGCTTGAAGAAATCTTATAGATATTCCATTAATAAAAGCAAATCATAGCTGAAAGAGTTTATTATGATTTACCAAAACATTATGTGTTCAGATCAGGGTAATATTCTTAGAAAGGGGTCAGATCTTTTTAGTCCTGTGTCTCTCCATTAAAAGTGGAAGCTAACTTTATTAGCTACATCAATACTAAGAAAACACTAAAACTAACCTAACATGAATAAAGAAGGAAGGGAAATAAAAATAGAGACCAGGAAATAGGAGAGAGATTTTTAAAGGAAAAGGATTATTGTATTTGTTACTAGTAGGACACCTACCACAACTGACAAGTTGCACACTCTTTTTCTGCCACCTATTTCTCCAGTTATTTAACTTGTGAGCAGAGTTTCCTAGTCAAGCAAAGGGGGACCTCATAGTATCACCACATGAGTGAAAGTGAAATGTCAAGATGCTTTCACATAGAGACGCTTCTAACATATAGGATACCATCATAAGAATTGGAAAAAGCAGCCCCCTCTGGGTGGAACAATTAGAAAACAGCACCTGTTCCTCTGGGTTAAGCCAGCAGGGGCTGGATAGGCCCCCACTCACCTCTTGAACTAGACACAACCTGCACAATGGTATGTGGTGGCCTTGCCTCCAACTAAGGAAAACTTGGTTAACCCAATGGCACAGAGCACATAACTTCTTCTGGGGGGGGGGTGGGGGAAAAGGTAGATTTTTAATAACTGCTTTTATCACCAGGTTAAGTCATGCCATTACAAAGTAGTTAGAAATTTCTGAAAGGATATTATTGTTAAAAAAAAACCTCATTCTTACATAAATAATATCTAGTAATTCATTGGGACAGTACTGTTCCAAAGGTCCTGACCAAACAACTCCCAAACAAAACACAACCCTAGGTTGTTTCCAGCCCACTGGGGATGAAGCCGTGCGCAGAAGATGAGGCCTGTAAAAGACGACACAAAGTCAGGGCGAGTCAGAGCCTTTGGTGATGCTCAGAGCCGCCAGCCAGACTCCAAAGACAGAGCTCAAGTGGTTTCTCCTGAGACACTCTACTTGAATTATTGTTCAATTAGTCAACACAACACATCTTCAAAAGAGAACAATTAACATGATAAGGAGATGACTGCATTCTTTGGGCTGTATGTCATTACTGTGGTTAGTAAATTCTGACAGTCTTAACAAAAATAGCCTCCACCATTTGCAGGTATGAAATTCTCTACCAGGCTTTTTATTTTTGCTGGATGACAAAATGGAACTGACAAGCTGTAAATGATACTGTTTTGTGTTATAAAAATACTAGCTTTTTTCATTTATTATATTTACAGGCATTCACTGCTTGAGTCAAGGTTAGGCTTGTTAAGTGATTAAAGGCAATTTTATTACAGCAGCATGTATTTATTTTACTCTAAAAGAATAAAATGCATAAAGAGAAAGTTTGTTTGTAACCTGTCAGAAATTGAGCTATTCTGCTGATGTAAGATACCAGTAACTCACTTGAGGACCATGCTACCTTCTGAAAATGCCATATACCTGCTTCTTACATGTGTCAAAGCACTTGATACTTGTCCAGAGCTGAAGCGGCAAAGCTACTGACTGCTCTTGGACAACAGGTGCTTCCCTGGGGCTACAGCTGACTGTGCTGGGAAGCAGCCATGGAGCAAGGCAGCACAGGCAGCTGGAAAAAACCTTTTTATTTAAAGGCAAAATGCCCAAATGGCTCTCTGGCATAGCTAATTTCTACTATCACGTATTCGCTTATATATGGTCCCCTAACCTTAATTTTTTTCTTCTTAAGGTGCTGATTTGGATTAACTTGTTGAGAATGGCATATGACTTACTTTTAATAAGATGCACAGGCCATAGCAACTGATCCACTTCCTCACTGGGATGAATGGCCTCTTCTGAAGCGAAAATCGTAAAAGTCACGCTTGATGGTCGCCATCTTGAGGAAAAACTGCAAAGCCGCAAAGCCACTTCCGATTGATCTGGAATTGGTCTGTAGTGAGAGGGGGCATATAGAGAACTCCTGGGCCCCGGTGGGTAAGGAGGCACTGCAGACACACAGGGAACGACAATGACCAGCAAAGCAGCTGGATAATTTCTGGCCAGCAGCCCAGCATCCAGGAGGCAGACCAAGGGGAGGAGGAGGAAGGTGGGTACAGTGAAGAGGGGTTGAGAGGGGAGTGAAGGAAGGAAAAGGGTCTGTGCCCCCAAAATTGAGACCTACCACCGGTAAAGTTATTTCAGCCTTTGCCCTGAAGGCTCTGCTCTTCCTTCCCTCCGCCCCCCGCGCCCCCATTCTCCTCCCCCAGCTCTTAGCTCCAGGACGCAGCCCAGGGTCCACGAGCCCACAGTCCCCAGGCTCTGGGCCTAGGACGTCCAGGCGCGCGGTACTCCTGGCCACCCTCACACGGGTGAAGGGGCAGCCGCCCCTCATTGGGATGCATGCCGCCTACAGGGGACACAGAATCAACGCCAAGCAAAAAGCATACACTCCAGCGGCGCCCACTCTTCCGCTAGCCCGCAGCACTCCCGCGGCCCAGCTCATGGCCGCCCGAGGAAGAGGAAGAAAATGGAGGAAAGCGGAGGGAAAGCTGGTTGAAGCTCAGAGGAGGAAAACCTTTGGCTACTGAGGCTGCGTAAGGCGGCGCCCAGCCCGTGCGGACCTCGCGGGGGCCAAGCGCGCCAGGTGCAGGCGCGAGGCAAGGAGACGAGCTCTGAGGCACTGCGCCTGCGCCTGCGCCTGCTGCCTGTTGCAGGTTGAGGTCCCTGTGGCTGGCGGGTTTCAGAGAGGCTCCTTGCGCTCCAAGTGTACGAGGTGCAGCAGGCACACTGAACTAGAGAGACTCAGCTCTCAAACGGAGTGTTCCTTGTCCAGAGAGGCTAGGAACACCAGGGAGCCCAGGTAAATTGACTTCTAACGAAATCTTGTCTAGATGTATCAGATAAGGGCTTGTTGACTCTTGATTGGGAATTTTTCACCAGGGCTGTGGGAGAAAGGGATCTCAGGGCTACTGTTTACCACCCAAATATGAGCTGAAGTAGAAAAAACATTTAAGTTAAACCCTCTATGCAAAGGAGATTTTTAAATAAGATACAAAACCCTAAGAATTTGATCAGGGCAGTGCTAATTGATAACCATATATACAATTGATAACCATTTCTACAACTCATTATTTATGAAGTCGTTAAATGTAGAATCTAATAAAATCCCCCCTCATCCGTTAATTGGGGATGAACCAAGGTTTCCACTTCTCCCGCCACATTCTACCCACTTAACTGTTTGCTTACTCATTTGTGAATCATAAAACATAATACACATCTGACAAATTCTTTTACAAAATGTAGAGCAGTGTTTCTCAGCCTTTTTTCATTATCTTTCCCTCAAGAGCTTCTTCAGACATTAACCCTAATCGTTCAGCTCCCTCACCTGCCCCCACAGCATGAGATTAAATATTATGGAGATTTTGTCTGGTAGGGTTGAGCTTTGGAGAGCCAAACCCTTGTAATATCAAAGATTTTTTTCACCAACCCCCCCCCCCACCCAAGAACCAATTTTCATCCCCTTGGGGCAGTATTGCGCCAGCTGAGAACACATGACGTACAGCAGTTTTATTTCCTAGAATATTCCCTGTAGAAAGTATATTTTGAAGCTTTTTGATCTCTGCAAGGATCTCCTAAAATGAAGCTTTAATTTGGTGTAAGAGAGGAGCTTAAAACAAGGCAAAATCCACAGAAGACTCCCCTCCCCGCCATCCTAACTAAACTCTCATGACCATATTTTGTACATTCAAGGGAAAAGTTGAAAAAAAAGTAAAGACAACCAAATAATGGGAAACTAATTATGTTCAGTAATAGATGACTGAAATGAAAGCTATTAAATAGCAAGAATAACAGAGAGTGAACCGTAACTCTGACCAAATGGGTTTGCCTCCACTAGAGCCATGTAGGTCCTCAGGGTCTGCATATATGCCTTCTAATTTTTCCCACTGGTCCTGTCCTAGTCTAATTTGTAAATTACCTTGGTCCTGATTTTTTAGTTTTTGTTTCACTGTGTATTTCCTATAGCTGCCTTAAATTCTTTGTGGAATCAATGAAATATATATTTTTGTATGAAGCACATGTACTCCTACCTTGGACACCAAGAAGGAGCTACCAATTGACTGTTACCAAGCATCCATCAATAACCAGTTAGATGAGGTACCCTAAATGCTCACTGTGAAATACTTGAGGGCAGAAATCATGTCATACTGAACTCATAACCATAACACAGCAAGCACAGTAGTAGTTTGCTAAAAGAATAACCTAGAGAATGGTCTAAACTCCCTGTGTGGTATTTCAACAGAGGGGCCAAATCAACTATTTGAGTTTATATTAATTGGTATAATACTTGCAGGGTTGAAGATATTTAATTTTTTTATACCATGAAGTTATATTTCTATTTTCCTTCTGATATACATTGTCTTAAAAACAAGTACTTAGTAAAGATTATATATAAACACATAAAGTTAATGAAGCAATATAAAGTGAATATGCTGGTGCCCTAATGGAAGAAAGCACAAAATGAAATTTCAGTACTAGAAATTTTGTTGTTTTATGAGAAGAATCATAAGTTCTATATTAAATGGATTAGTACACATATTCTACTAAACCTGAAAACAACTTTTACATATACGACATACTTCGGAAGGATAACTTACATCTGTACAGGCTGAGTATCATTAGAATAGAGAAACAGAGAAATTCCTTTACCATTTCCTTTTTCTAGCCTTGAGAGGCTGGAGTTATGTCATAGGTCCAATGTTCTTTTATTTTTTAAAGATCAGGTGAAAATACTTTCAAAATGTAAAATATACAGTCTACTATCTTCTGTTCTATAAAACATGGAACATTAAAAGGTTTTAGAATATCAGGTCTTTCTGGACATCCCAAAGTGTGTTTGCACTCTTCTTTAAAAGGGCCTCCTCCTCAGAATTCAAGTTAACTTTCACAACATCTGAGACACCATTTTGGCCCAAGACACAAGGGATACTGAGAAAGATTTCTTCTTTTATTCCATATAAGCCCTAAAAGGCAAAATTAGGTTATTATTCAGTAACCTGATATGGAAAAGCAGCTATGCAAGACAGCTTCAGAATAAGAATATACAGAGAGACTATGGAGCTCAAGAATCATTCGGAGGGCAGTAGAGTGATCGTCAACAATACGAAGAGCCTCCTAATGTCCTATGGCCATGTAAGAACTTGTGTTTAATGACATGAAGAATGTGCCAGCTGCCTTCAAAGGGGCCAAAAAGGGCACTGTCTATTTCACCCCTTACCCTTGTCATATTTCTTTCTAAGCGGAAGAATGCCATGCAGTCTGATGAAGGACTGTGAGATCAAGCAGGCTGTGTTTGGTGTAAAATAATCAAGAGAACAGTGAAGGCAGAAGCAGGAAGTGGCTGGGCAGGCTCTGCTTTGTATAATCTTTACATGAGGGGATGCCACTGAGTTTGGACAACAGATGCTAACAGGTGGCTTCTCAAGCTTCCAGAGGTGAAGCCTCCGGTAGAGCCTAAGGTTCCAGGTACTCACATGCTCAGCAGGGTTTATGTAATTCCCCTGCCAGTCACCAATGGAATGTACTCCTGCCCTCCTGGCTACCACCTGGCTTCTATCCAGGACCTTCCATGATGGACAGGGCCATGGAATAGGTGCAGCCATGGCCACCACCCTATCCTAGGGCCATGGAACCTCCCATCAGCAGCCCTGATGTTCCCTCCACTCCTGCAGCTGAAGCCAAGGCTGCTGAGGCAGCTACTAGAGCCTATTACAACCTGGGTAACCCACACAATGCCTACATGCCCACAAACCAGCCTCCACCTCCTCCCTGGAAGAAGACCCAGTAGACCTCTCACACCTCTCTGCCCCCTACCACCCATTGCCTTTTCTTACCCCAGAATGTAGGGTTGGAGGAGGCAATGGGAAGGTCTTGTTGTTCCTCCAGGTGTGCCTGCAACGTTACCAGGAGCCAGCGTTGAGAAAGGGAGAGGCTCCTTGACCCTGGAGTGGTGCCTCCCAGCTTCCCATAATAGTTCAGAGCCCACAGGCACTACTCAGCCAAGCTTCCCTCTCACCATCTCTGGGGCTCTCCTCAGGAGCTCAGCGTTCCTGTTTTACTCTGGTGGCCCACAGAGGGACTCCCTATCCACCTTTTCCACTGCAGTCCAACTCCCTCATTTTGGTAGCCACTTTATACTCAACCTCCTGATCTCCATCAGAACAGCCACATGTCTTCTCCTCAGGGTCCCCTGCCAGGCTCTACTCACATTCACTCCACTCTGGTCCGTGCCTCGCCATGGAAGCCCACATTCCCCTCCCAGCCACATTCCAGCTGCAGTCACACTTGCCTGCCCCCGCTTCCCTTTCCTGTCCTTGGTCGTTCTGTTGCTCCCTCCGTGTAGCACAATACCTTTTAGAGCTTTAACATGAGCTGCCAGGGGTTGGGTGGCATCAGGAACAAGGCAGCGTGGCTGTGGGGCAAAAGCCCTCCTGCCTTCAGTGCTAGTGTTTCAGGAATTTGCTCTCTCTCCTTTCACTGTATCTCTTCCTGCTAGAAAGGGCTTCTTGGATTAGAACTGGAAATGTATGTCCATGCCATTATGCCATTTGGGGGCTGCTGGAAAGACTGGAAACCAGGGCCCTGACCTCCAAGGCTGCCGTGGCCTAGCCCTGTGTACTGCCATGACCTGCTGCCCCCGCTCAGCCTATCCTCTTCCCTTTAAGCGTCATGCCTGGTTGGCAGTATGACCCCTGGATGCACTGAAATTTGCTTCCTTTCCTCATAGACTGGCCATGAAGTGAGGAAATGGTTATTTAAAGAGAATTCCCTATTTATCTGACAAAAAATCAAGTTAATATATTGTTAAATAAACTCTATTGGCAACTTTATTTGCTGAAAATGTGAAGTAATAAAAATGAAGTGACTGGGAAAAAAGATGAAGAGCATACAAATGATTTTGCTCTTAATGTCAAATGTTTAAGTATTTCCTATAAACTGTAACTCATCCACTGATTTGTTCGGTAAAGACTATGAAATTCCCGTATTACTCAACCTCTTCTCAGGAGCACTCATTTGACACCTCCCTGACTCTTCTTCAGGAGCCCTCTGGGGGCAATTGCTTATATTCTCCCACAGCCCTTTGTATCCTCAAAAGAGGAAGAGTGTGGAATCCACTGTATACCCCTCACTGTCTCTTCCCGATTATTCATCCCTTGCTCTCTTAAAAACAAAAACAATTCCCCCGATTTTTTGAGGCCCATCTTATTCAGCTCTTCTTTCCTTTCTAATGACCGTCTACAAACCTCTTGAGTATTCCATCTCATTCATAAAAGACTTTGACCCTAGCAATCTTCTCCCTCTATCCCAGTTTGTGCCATTATCCTTGGTGACTTCATTGTCCATGTGGATAAACGAACCAATTCCCTTTCTTTCCAGTTTCTTGTCTTTAGGTCATGGGACCTTCTCCCACCCCAAGTATCTTACTCTGAACCTTGTTATGAGGTTCCTCCATATCCAACTTATATTCCTTTCTTGTAACTCTTTTGCTACACCCTAAGACCCTTTGCCTATTTTAATTTTCATAAATATTTCTTAAATTCTTTATTACTCATTTTCTTTTTGGAATTTTTAAATATTTATTTATTTATTTTTGTGGTAGGCGGGCCTCTCACTGCTGTGGCCTCTCCCCCTGCGGAGCACAGGCTCCGGACGCGCAGGCCCAGCGGCCATGGCCCACGGGACCAGCCACTCTGCAGCACGTGGACCCTCCTGGACCGGGGCACGAACCCACGTCCCTTGAATCGGCAGGCGGACTCTCAACCACTGCGCCACCAGGGAGGCCCTCTTTTTGTAATTTATTCATTTGTATGTAGACAACATTTAAGGGAAACGGTTTTGAATTTGACTGTGACCCTTTAGCAGAAGGTCAAACTCATTTTTTTTTTTTTTTTTTTTTTTGGGGGGGGCCCTCTCACTGTTGTGGCCTCTCCCGTTGCGGAGCACAGGCTCCGGACACGCAGGCTCAGCGGTCATGGCTCACGGGCCCAGCCGCTCCACGGCATGTGGGATCTCCCCGGACCAGGACACGAACCCGTGTCCCCTGCATCGGCAGGCAGACTCTCAACCACTGTGCCACCAGGGAAGCCCCAAACTCATTTTTAACAAGTATAGAAACCAAAACTACCTACACCTCTATCTATCTGTCTGTCTTCCTCTCTTCTCTCTCCCCCTTTAACACTCCACAAGTAAAACCCAAACCCAGATGAATTCAGTTATCTACTTTCTCCACTCCTGCACTCAGGTCCCTAGAGAAAACCGCACAACAAAGCTGAACTTTAACTTTTGTCAAAATTAATGCTTATCTACCTCAAGCATCCACCTGACAGTAATTCTGCCTTTATTTTTTGTCAAATTCTATTTCTCACTATCTACAAAGATGATTTCAAATCTTCTCAAACATTTGACTTTTCTATACCTCCCTTGACTTTCAGTAGATGATTTTGTCTCCTTTCACTAAAAAGATAGAAGTCATCAGATGCTTCCAATGCCAGACTTACAAACCTATAGGATTCACTACCTATCTTCTCTTTGTTATCCCCTATTAAAAAAGATAGTTGTCCCTCCTCCTTTCTAGGACTAATACCTTCACCAATGCTCTGGATCCCACCCTCTCTGCTTATTACTTCTATCTTCAATATCTTCTTTACATCTTATCTTTTAAACAACAGCAAAAAAACCTGCCTTGCCCTGATTTTCCTCTCCAGTTACTGCTCTCTCTCCTTAATTTCACAGCCACTTACCTCAAAAGAGCTGTTTATACTGGCTTTAATTTCTCCAGTCTACTTAAAAGCTTCTCAGCTGGAGGTGATTTTGCCTTACCAAACATTCCCAAGGGACATTTAGTAATGTCTGGAGACTTTTTTTTTTAACATCTTTATTAGAGTATAATTGTGGAGACATTTTTGATTGTCAAAACTGGTATGCTACTGGCATCTAATGAGTAGAGGCCCGGGATGCTGCTAACATCCCACAATGCACAGGACAGCCCCAATAATGAAGAATTATCCAGCCCAAAATCAATAGTACCGAAGTTAAGAAAGCCCTCGTGTACTCCAATCAGAATTTTTCATTTCTATTACTTTATTAAACATCTGCTAAGGTTATCAATGACCTCTGTTACTTTACCTTCCTGGCATTTTTAACCCTCATTTTATATGACTTCACATCAATCAAGAACAGAAAACCAATCCTTTCATCTTTAAGGCATCCTCCTTTCACTTGGCTACCATGATTCCATGTTCTCTTGGTTTTTCTTTTAACTCTGGCCACCACTTAGTCACCTTCGTGGACTCACACTATAAACTCTGCTGTTAATACTGAAATTCCTCAAGACTCAATCTCAATCTGTCTCCTCACTTTATACTCTCTCCTTAGGCAAGCTCGTTGAAATTCATGGTTTCAGTTACCATGTGTAAGGGATATCTACTGTCTTTGCCTGTCTAGTATCTCTTTCTCTTTTTTTTTTTTTTTTTTTTTTTTTTTTCCCTTAATGTTGACAGAACCTCTCTTTTCCTTTCAGGAACTGCCTCTCTCCGAACTGACAAGTATCACAGGAATGGACAAGTGATCCCAGAAAGGCCAATTATCAAGAAATTAATATGGGTAAAGGGAGAGGCAGGGTCCTGATACTATAGGCTCTAAGCCTGCAGATGCTGAGGGCCATCTTTGTTGCCCCATGTAAAAAGTCCACATAAGCTTGAAGCCAATAAGAGTGAAAAGATGAGCCAAGATTGTGGAGAGAAAAGATAGCTCTAATGGTATAGTTTGAGCATGTGGTTCAGGCCTCCTTGGCATTTCAGTTACATGAGCCACTATATCTTCTTTTTATTAAGCTAGTTTGGGTTGGCTTCTGTGGCTTTCAACTAAGAGCCCCTGATATACACTTTTTATGCTGATGATGCTCATATTTATAACTCCAACCCCAAACTCTTATGAATTCCAGAAGCTTGTACCCAACTGACTA